GCCTGAGAGCATAGTGATTGTGTCTTTCCTGCACACCCTTAGTTCTCAGGGGCCCACATTTCTTTGGAACGGCCCAAGGCTGTCTTAGTTGACTTGTGGAAATGCCTTCTGGAGTCCACACTGATATCTGGGCCTGGTGCCCTGCAGCGAGCCGGAGAGGCTAGGTCTCTCCTGTAGCATAGCACCTGACTGCAAGTCCCCTGTGAGTTGTCTGGAGGAGGGGCTGCATAGCATGTGCCTGGAACTGAAAATCAGAATTATTGTTATAATAATGATAACGATATATGCCACTTACTGCATGTCTACTTAGGCATTGTTAGTTCATTTCTTCCTACCAGAACCCTGAGTGATAAGTATTTTTTCCCCCGTTTTATACTGAAGGAGTCCAGGTCTGGGTGAGATCGTGGGTTTTGTTTCTAGGAGGCAGCAGGTCCTACACTGGATCCCAGGGGTGGCAGCTCTCAGCTTGTGGTCTTAAGAACCTCCCCAGCCCACAGGAACTTATTTCTTCCAAATATTTTTAGTGAATAGCAAGTATTCCATTAACCTTAGAATCTTTTTTTTTTTTTTTTTTTTTTGAGACAAACTTTCACTCTTGTTGCCCAGGCTGGCGCAGTTAGGCTCACTGCAGACTCCACCTCCTAGGTTCCAGTGATTCTCCTGCCTCAGCCTCCTGAGTAGCTGGGATTACAGGTGTGCACTACCACACCTGGCTAATTTTGTATTTTTAGTAGAGACTGGGTTTCACCATGTTGGTCAGGCTGGTCTCAAACCCTGACCTCAAGTGATCCATCTGCCTCAGCCTCCCAAAGTGTTGGGATTACAGGTGTGAACCACCATGCCTGGCCTAGAATCTTTTTAAAATGGTGATTGAAGTAAAACAAAATACATTTAGGCTATGTCTATGGTTATAAAACCATTTACAAAACACCAAAGTAGGCCAGGCATGGTGGCTCACACCTGTAATCCCAGCACTTTGGGAGGCTGAGGTGGGCGGATCACCTGAGGTCAGGAGTTTGAGACCACCCTGACCAACATGGAGAAACTCTCTACTAAAAATACAAAATTAGCTGGGGGTGGTGGCACATGCGGGTAACCTCAGCTACTCTGGAGGCTGAGGCAGGAGAATCACTTGAACCCAGGAGGTAGAGGCTGCAGTGAACTGAGATCGAGCCATTGTACTCCAGCCTGGGCAACAAGAGAGAAACTTCGTTTAAAAAAAAAAAAAAAAACCCAAAAACTGTCTCTACTAAAAATACAAAAATTAGCTGGGCATGGCGGCAGGTGCCTGTAATTCCAGCTGCTAGGGAGGCAGAGAATCACTTGAACTAGGGAGGCAGAGGTTTCAATAAGCTGAGATCTTGCCAGCCTGGGCAACAGAGTAAGACTCTGTCTCAAAAAAAAAAAAAAAAAAAAAAAAAGACATCAGTTATTAGACTATTACTCTATAATTGGAGAGTGTGTTTGGTTAGCACAAAACTGATAAGGAGGCTGGTGTGGTAACCCAGAGCTGAAGTAACTTTCGTCTGAACTAAGATATTGTTTAGGGTGGTCTTTTTCAAGGAGGGGACTGTGTAATGTCCACAGCACATACCAATATAGGGAATGTTTTATTTCAGTATGCCTTTCCCACCAGACTGCAAGCTTCACGTCCATAGAACTTGCTGGTATGTAGGATTTGCCCAGTACTTTGAAAACTCCTTTGAAAATGCTTTCATTTCTCTGCATACGTTTTTTTTCCTAGTATTTCTTTCCTAAATGTTGTAAAACTGTATTGGCCGGGTACGGTGGCTCATGCCTGTAATCCCAGCGCTTTTGGGAGGCCGAGGCGAGCGAATCACAAAGTCAGGAGTTCGAGACTAGCCTGGACAACATGGTGAAACCCCATATCTACTAAAAATACAAAAATTTAGCTGGGCATAGTGGCAGGTGCCTGTAATCCCAGCTACTCAGGAGCCTGAGGCAGGAGAATCGCTTGAACCTGGGAGGCAGAGGTTGCAGTGAGCTGAGATCACGCTACTACACTCCAGCCCTGGCTAATTTTTGTATTTTTGGTAGAGACAGGGTTTCACCATGTTGGCCATGCTGCTCTTGAACTCCTGACTGTTAAAATGTGTGTTCCGAATGAAGAGGCCCCCAAACAGGCTTTGTGTGAGCAACATGGCTGTTTATTCACCTGGATGCAGGTGGGCTGAGGCGGAAAAGAGCGTCAGCGGAGGGCGGTGGGATAGGAGTTGGTTTTATAGGTTGTCAGGGAGGCAGGGGAAATTCACAAAAGTTACCCAGTTACAGTTGGCAGTTTTTTGCAAGCTGGGAGGGGGTTGTAGGGTGTTGAGTTGGGAGGTTGGCCAAGCTGGGAGGGAGTTGTAGGGTGTGGAGTCAGGAAGTTGGTCAAACTGGGAGGGGGTCATAGGGTGTGGAGTCACTAGGTTGGCCAAACTGGGTTACAAAGTCCAATGGCCTTGTCAATTGAGGCCGGAATAAGAAAGAATAGAAGAATGTTTTAGGTTAGTTAGGCACCGCAGGGGTTTATCGTTTCTTCCAGGAACTCATCTGGGGTGTACGTGCAGGTCACAGAGATTATCATGGCAAGGTCAGACCTTACACTGACCTCAAGTGATCTACTTGCCTTGGCCTTCCAAAGTGTTGGGATTATAGGTGTGAGCCACCGCACCTGGCCCCTCTCTTCTTGAGTTCTGTAATTTGCTAGAATGGCTCACAAAACTCAGGGAAACACTTTACTTACGTTTACTGGCTTATTACAAAGGAGAGCGTTGAACAGCCAGGTGAAGAGGTACATGGCATGAGGTCTAGCAGGGTCCCACGTACAGGAGCTTCTGTCTACATTGAGTTGGAGTGGACCACCCTCCTGGCAACCCAGAAGTTCATCAAAATGTGTTGTTCAATAGTTTTTATAGAACTTTAAATCCAGCCTCCCTTCTTCTCTGCCCTTCCCTGAGGTTCCTGGGTGGGGCTGAAAGCTCTAATCGCTGGTCATCTTGGTGACCAACCCCACCATGAGACTCTGTAGGGGCCCCACCCTAAGTCCTGCCATCAGCATAAACTGATGAGATGTGATGGAAAGGATTTGTCATGAATAACAAAAGGCACTTCTCTCAGGAAATTCCAAGGGTTTTAGGAGCTCTATACAAAGACCAAATGGACCTGTTGACTCAGAACACCATACTCCAAAGTGTGGGGGCGTGCAGGGCATGCTGTGTACTCCAAACTAAAGGAGCTTGGAGGGGGTGGGGGGGCTCAGGAGAGGAGCGTCTGCCTTCCTGCCCTGCTGTTTCGTGTCCTCCTTTCTCCCCGGCCAGTCGTAGAAACCAGAACTCCTCTTCCCAAAGGCAGGCCTTAGAAACTAGAATCCTCTCTCCAAAGCAGTCCATAAAACCTAGAAACGTTAATTTCTTGCTTTACCTTTTTCCCTTGAAGACTCTTAATTTTGCAGGGGCCCTGCCGTATATGTCAAGAGGGTTGGGAGTGAGAAGTCTACACAGAGAAGCCAAGAAGCATCTGAATAGACAGGCCTTTCTGGGTTTCCCCCTTCACTCTATTCCCATTAGATCATATTTTGTTCAATCACATTTCTACAAGGCTGTCCATTCTTCATCAAACGTAAGCATAAGAATAGTTTTCTCATAGGTGTGCTGGTAATGTACAGGTTCACGCCTGTAATCCTAGCACTTTGGGAAGCTGAGGCGGGTGGATCATGAGGTGAGGAGTTTGAGACCAGCCTGATCAACATAGTGAAACTCCGTCTCTACTAAAAATACAAAAATTAGCTGGGCATAGTGGCATGGGCCTGTAATCCCAGCTACTCAGGAGGTTGAGGCAGGAGAATTGCTTGAACCTGGGAGGAGGAGGTTGCAGTGAGCTGAGATCATGCCACTGCACTCCAGCCTTGGCGACAGAGACTCCGTCTCAAAAAACAAACAAACAAGCAAGCAAAATAAACAACAAAGTCTCCTTGGAAGAAAAGCTCTCTCTAAATTTCTCTAAGAGTGTTTAATAAATTATGTTTTCTCTAATGGACCAATTATTTTAACTGTTTTACAAGAGAGTATGTTCAAAATATGTTTAGTTGTAAATCAGGTGATGAAATATATATTACTGTAAAGTCAATTAAAAATTTTGTGTCTATGTGTATGCACAGTAAAAATGGTAAATATATTGACAAAAAATCTACAAAACCATTATCACATGCATACTAACAACAATCTATAAAAATATCTTCAATAATAAACAGGAGAATGAAGCAATATACAGAGACTGGTGAAAGGATCGACAACGTGGCGGGTCTGCCTCATCATCTGTCCCCAGCCCCTTTCTGCCCCCC